GAGGGAAGTTTTGTCCCATCGCACAATCGGAGGGTTTTGGAGTCACTGCGGTTGGAACAAACCCTAGAGAGTTTGTCTGAAGGGATTCCAATGATATGCACGCCATCTTTTGGTGATCAGATGGTGCATTCAAGGTATGTTAGCCTAGTATGGAAAGTAGGGCTACATTTGGACAGTGAGTTAGAGAGAGGAGAGATTGAGAGATCTGTCAGGAAACTGATGGTAGATGCTGATGGGGAGGTGATGAGGGTTAGGGCCAAGGACTTGAAGGAGAAAATAGAAGTTTCTTTGAGGAATGGTGGTTCTTCCTTCAGTTTCTTGAATAAGCTTGTAGTACTTATCATGTCACTTTAATTGCAACAACAATGTATTTCTAACCACAACCTTGAATAAAGCTTCCGGCAGATGGATGCAAGAAAGATTTTCTTTGTTGTCCATCCTCAACTTTGAATAAAATGTCCTATATATTGTAATGCATAAGTTGGTAACACAAATCTAGAACTTGAAGGAATAGAGCAAACTAAGAGGCGTGGTTGGTTCAGTTAGAGTTAGGGCACTAAAATGGTCCAACTAGATTTGCTCTTATATTTTGTTAGGTATGCTTAATTTATGCAGAACCCAAACAATTTGTACCCAAACATCACATATGGCCGTGAGGAGAACAACAATGTGAGTTGCCTCAGTTCAGCACCCTACAACAGAAGGTATTACGTAACCGAATAAACAAAACAATAGATATACATCCTTCATCGTTAGGAGAAAAACTTCATTGTGGACATCCATACCATGTGACCATCCTCCGCACACAAAGCACTCTCCGCTTTTGTCCCGCATACCCACCCACAATTCAAGGTCATCTTCAGCTGTCATTTGGAACAGCGTGGAATGCCCCGAACAATCATTGCTGGTACGGCTCCAGCAATAGTACCAAATTCCATTGTTTCCTATCGATACTCTGCACGAAACTGTTCCATCCCTATATATAAGCTAGTTGAAAGAGGACCAGAGCTGTATGTCATGGCTCGATAAACAAGCACACTACTCTGTCATCCATGTAAGCCCAGGAAGCATAACTTTCATGGACACAGGACGGTAAAGATTTACATATTGGAAATGGGGTCTGGCCAACAGTGAGCAGCCTTTCATGTGGGTGTTTCGGACGGACCCCATATCAATGCCCGAAGGTTTCCAAAAAACGGTTGGTGAAAGGGTCACAGTGAAATTGGCACCCCAAAAGCAAGTCCTGGCACACAGGGTTGTGGGAGGGTTTTGGAGCCATTGCATCTGGAATCCAACCGCTGAGACTATCTCGGAAGGAGTCCCAGTGATATGTAAGGATCAACAAAATTTTCTTTTGAATACGGTGATGAGAATTTGAACACGAATTTGAACTTGGCTGCAAAAGAATGAATACACTACCATAATTAACTAGTCTAACTCACATTTGTAAATTTCCTTTATGTATTTCGTAAGAACAAAATTTTCTTAAGAATATACTGTAAACATACAAAAGAAGTAAACTTATATGATTCTGAAATTTTATTGACACACCCCAACCGAGATCGGGGCATGCTGGCCGTCACGTGGAAGTGACGTAGCCAAGTGCACAGTGCGGAAGCTAAAGGACATAGTAAAAAAAGTACGAATAATTTAAAAACTAGCAAATATAATGTGATAAAGTATGTGCTAGCGTAAGTAAGTCGCTGAATTCAGAGCCTAAGGCCTACAGCAGTCCAAAAGAAACGATACGACAATAGTGCACCCGAAGGTGACCCTACATAGGTGAGTGTCTGTCAGAAATGCCGGGACGTCCTCTGGGAAAAACCACCGAACCCGCTAAGCTACTAGAACCTGGAGGGGCGCAAAAACAAAAGCGTGAGTGGGCAAAACAAATTCTTTGAAAACCATTTCATAAAATACATTCTAACCCCTCGCCGTAAAACCTGTATACTTCCCAGAAAATAAACATATATACGTAGGTATAAATATGCCAAATAATCTCAAGGATATGCCATCATGCTCAAAGGTATGCCGTCATGCTCAAGCCTCATAATAATATGCAAGTGCTCAGGTATAAATCACATCAATAGCATCATAGTCTGGCAGCCGGAGTCCCCTAAGTGACCTGTACGGCTGAATCTAGAGCTCAAATCTCAAACTTAATCACTAAACCTGCGCACGAGTCGGAACCACCTATAGTGGTCTGTACGACAGGCCTGGGTGTAATACATATGAACGCTCTAGTGCTACGATCACGTGAAGGCTGTGCGAATAATCGCGGGTCACCTACGAGTCGGAACCACCGATAGTGGTCTGTACGACAGGACTGTGCACCTAACTTGGATTCAAGCTGAGCGTGTGGTGCGGGAGGTGAACAACACGTGAAGGACTGTGCCCTACTCTGGGCGGGAGCACTAACACCGAGGGTGCAAGTTATGAGCTCTCTAAGCATCTCTAACCGCTATTTAATGCAATCGTTAAATAACGCTTACCTGGCACTTACCTATGCCTTCACAGCACCAACATATATATATATGACATATGCATAACTGAATATGTAATTAAACGTATATGCCACTAATCATGCATAACCATCAATCATATAAAAAGAATGGCATAAAACGAAGCATTTATACTAATTTCTGGGAATTTATATGTATATAGGTGTATACGGAAACAAAAGCCCACTCACTGGTATGTGGAAGGGTCGTAGCCCCCCTGCCTCGAGTGTGCACGCTCGTCCTCGGGATACGTGTCACCTATATGCGAATTAACTATAAAAACGTTAACTTTAAAGCACATAACCGTCCGTTCAAAATAACTTCTCATACATTGCTCAAAATGGACAAATGAATATACCAACGTGATCTACACAACCTCACGATCACACCCATATTTTTAAAATAATTTTTGGACCTCCCACGCGCCCTCACGCGCCAAAACAGGCACGGACCCACGCGCGGCCACGTGCCAGGCACACTGACGGCGTCAAGTGACGCCGTCAGGAATATTCCGTTGAACTGACGGAATATTCCGTTAAACCTAAACTGACGCCGTCACGTCCGTTAGGAATATTCCGTTAAACTCAACGGAATATTCCCCTTTCTTCTCCGGCCAGTCCCCCTCGCCGGCGCCGTCGCCGTCGCCGGAAAACCTGCAACTTGGGTTTTCTCGCTCGTTTTTCAACCGTTTTTCAAGATTTTTGCACCATTTTAACCCTTAGGACTAGTAGAACACGATCCTACAAGTTTTAAGGCCTAAAACTACGAGATTATACCTGTCCAAATCTCCAAAACTCGGCCAACTTCGAACCAAGCTTTCCCGACGTCCAATTTTGTCCAACGAAGCACTCCCAAGCTCCTGGGAACCTCACAAACACAACTATAAGCTTCAAATGTCCAAAAAATCACTAAATTAATCTTGCATGAACAGTACTCAAATCGGAGTTTAAGAAATCGACGTGAAAACGTCGATGTTCTCACCTGAAAATGGTACCACTGGACTTCTCACAGCCTCACAAACACGATGGTGGTCTTGGATCCCTCGATCTGTCCAGGTTTGAGGGGTTGTGTGAGTGTCCGTACGTTTTTTGTTTGAAAAAGAAGAGGAATAGAGGACTCGGGGGAGAGAGAGAGAGAGAGAGAGAGAGAGAAAATGACAGAGGGTGAGGGATAGGGATAGGGTGTGTATGTGTGGTCCAACTCTGGCCAACACCACACAAAACAACCAAAAACATAACAAGAACAAACTAGGGGTAAAATGGTAATTTCACACGTACGTTTCCGAAAATTCCGGGACGGGATGTCACATTTATTAACAAACAAAAAAATACAAAGTAGATGGCACTAACATCAAGTTCCACACTACATATGTGAAGCCTAGAATAATCCCATAAAAGACAAGTGGACTTTGATCCAAGAAAGACAAGATTGCCCTCAATAAATGGGCAGGCTTCTTAGATGCTCCCACGCGCAGCTCACACCCATGAAGGTCTCAGCAGATGCTCCCACGCACAGCTCACACCCATGAAGGTCTCAGCAGCTGAATACGACTGCCCACAGCTCACCTGCTCTTGGCAAGAAATTAAAGATAATCATTAATTACCCAAATCCTATCTTTAATACATTCACAATTGAAGATCGACTCCAATCAAGTAAGTAATCACAATTTAAATAAATTATAGATAATTACACTATTATCTCAAAATATTATTTCCTATTTAATATCTTGAGAATATTTCTATATAAACATCTTGGCCATTAGGATGCTGCTACGTGTAGGGTAAAACCTTAACATTGTGGCCAGCCCTATCCCTATAAATACCCCATATTCTACCAAATTTTCAGAACTTTTGCTACCCCTAAAAAAGCCCTGAACACTTTACTCTCTCAGAGAAACTAACTTAGACACCGAAGATCCATTGGCCTAACAACCCCCCCCTCCCACCTCGTGGGCGCATGAAGCTTAGGTCTTTGATCAAAGGTGTTAATCGTTTTGCAGGTGCATTTTCGTCAAGACTGAAGACAGTGAAAATTTGCATCAACAAATTGGTGCTTTCATTAAGAGCTGATTCAAATACTCGAAGAAGTCTCTTGCATTTGTTTCTTGAATTTTTTGTTACATTGAATTTCTCACACGTCGTATCAATTAATTTTTCTTAGAAACGTTTCTTGATCAATCCCTGGAGAAAGGATACACACTACTAGAAATTTGGCTATAAGCCACCCTTTTCATTGATGGCTATTGTCAAGTGTTGCCATTCACATTGGTGGCAAACCTCTATGGTCCCCAAGCACCCACTAAACTAGAAAGTGTGGTCTATGTAGAGAACTCTATTGCAACAATGGCTACCAATATTGCATTGGTGCCTTTGCTGCAGTGCCACCCTAATTCACATCGGTGACAAAGTTGCAAAATAATATTTAAAAAAAAAAAAAAAGATGCCCTGTGTGGGCACCCAAATTAGAGTATCATATTTTTTTTTTTTCTATTTTTGGTGAGAAAACAAATTGTTATATCATTAAAATATAAGAATACAACTATAAATTGCATAACTGATATTTTATAGAATTTTGTACAAATGTTGGAACCAAACTTTAAAAAGTCTTCGAACCCTTTGTTTCCAAGAGCTTAATCATCTCAATAACTTGAATCTAATCATCAGTTGCAGCCTGCACCCAAAATCAAATCCACAAATTTCGTAAGAATAACGTTAACTCAAGTCCAACTGAAAGTGATTAGAGTTGAGGACAACACTGAGATATGACATATAAATACCAAGGAAAAGTAGATTTTCAAGGGGTTTGTAGTCATAATTTACCATACAAAAATCTCCACAAATTCACTGCAACCCTTCTACAACTTTAACTAAGAACATATTAAATTGACAAGTTCATGAACATGCAGACTACCTTCAACCTTGAAACAACAAATGATCTCCCAATCAGCGTGGGCATTCAAGAATAAGATAAAGAATGCATAGATACTATATTTATGACCAATGGGCAGAGGACAAGATACAACAAAGCATTTACATATGAATGAGGGAGAACGGAAATGAGAATGGAATATCAGTGAAGAGCGAGCGCATCCTCACACATATAATTGCATTAACATTTTCTCTTTTTTCAGAAACTCAAAAAATCAGGAAATTCCAATACAAGAGATCACCAACTAATGATCAAGGCAGCTACAAAACAGAAAACAAAAAAGTGAGTTCTAATTGAATTCATTTACATATACCCTACACCATTAAGACTTAGTAATAAACTAGTAAATTTTACCCGCACGTTGTTGCGGGAGCGAAAATATAACTATAGACTATATTTTTAACATATAAATAACCAAACACTAAGATAAACATTAAGTAGAAAATGGAGCAAATATTTTTACAAAACTGTCTAAGTTTATGTAACTTACAGAAAAGACATTGTCAAATGCCTTGTCATTGATATACAAAAATGGCTAGTCTAGTATTCCCCATTGACAGTCATCCCAGTGCTTCATTTGTATAATTAAAGTTACAATTGAAACAAAACGTTAATACAATTGTAATTAATTAGCAGTAATACTTTACATAATGAAAAAAAATTTCAACAGCCATCATTTATATATAGGAATAATAAAAATCCATTTGCATTAACTCTGGATCAAGTTCAACTCAAGGCTACAAAAACTTTAAACACGAGATTTAGATCACATTATTCAACCGCAAAAACCAAATGGTACATTTAACTGACTTAACACGACGGAAGGCATAAATCAAATCTAGGAAATTATACTCAACCTGCATTGCAGAAACGAACACTGTAGCTTATATACATTCTCAATGTCCTTAGCAAGTCCTCTCTCCAATGGTTCTGCAATCTACAAAAGGTTTTCAGAAGATTATAATTTAAAAACTGAATCACATAAAATTTCTGAAATTAGGTTGCTTCTTACCATGGTTATTTTATTCTTCTTATTGGATGTTTCAGCAAAGCATTTGATTGACAAAGGCTACACTGTTTCACAAAATGAAACAACATGATCAACCTACAAACAAAAGCATATCCATCAAGAAAAGAAGAAAATAAAATTTTACATTCTTAAGGGGTAGAAAAATTACTTTAAAAAGAAAAAACGTGAAGATCACGAAGATTGTTGGAGATCGATTCCAAAAACAAATACAAACATAGTAAAATTCAACTCAAATTCATGCAATATAATATAAGCCAAACAACCCCAATTTTCTCAGGAAACCAAAAAAACCCAAGGAAAAAAAACGAAAATGTGAATTCCAGGATCTAATAAAAAAAATCAAGATTTAAAAAAAAAAAGAAAAAAACAAAGAATGTGGATCCGAACCTTTCCTGGCCGGTGGTGTCCCAAATCTGGACCTTGACGACCTTATCGTCGAGCCAAATGCTTCTGGTGGCAAAGGAAACCCAAAACTAACCATCGCTATCTCTCTCTGACTTTTTAAACATTCAGACAAAAATCAAAGCACAAACCACCAAAAGACCCAAATAAAAAAATTAGCCCAAAAAAACAAAGTGCAAAGATAAATTATATACCTGGCCCAAAAAGGGTTTGCAAACTCCCACAACAAAACCCTAAAGTTGGAAGATAAACGTTTCCTGCAACCAAAAACAAAATCAGACAAAAGATCCACACGCAAAATAGGAAAAAAAATAAAGAAAACACTTGGCACTAATCCAATTTTACAACAAGCAATTAAAATTTTTTCTTACCAGCCAAGCACAAAATAATGGCACACAGCAACCAACGCACCCAAACCGTTGCGATTCCTCCGCGGAAAACAGCGGGAAAAACAGGCCAACCACCCTTCTAAACGATCAGATCGCGATGAAAACAGCGAGACACACTCAGAGAAACGCAAAGAGAGACATAAAAACGGAGAGAAGAAAAGAAAAGGAAAAGAAAAAGTGAAAGATGTTGGAAGTGGAAGTAAAGGTGGAAGATGCTGAGGAAAAGAAAAGGGTAAATTAGACTTTCACACCTTAGGTTTGAGATCTATTTTAATTCCTTACAATATCTTCAAAATATTTCACTTTCATACCTTAAATACTATTTTATTTCAAAATAATACTTCTGTTATATTTTTCATCTATTGATCCGTTAAGTGCTGATGTAACTTCAACATATATGTCACGTGGTTGCCAAATATCTGCACGTGACAAAAAAAATAACTTCTTAATTTCTTTTTAAAAAACCTGAATTTTCTTAAAAAAATAAAGTCAAACCCAGTTCGTCCCCACTCCTCATCCTCAAAAATCTAAAGTAAAAAAGTATAATTTACTCAAAAGAAAAAGTGAAAGATGCTTCCAATATCTTTCCTACAAAACGCAACGTGGCCAAAGCTCAACCAAAAAGCACCTTTCAAACGAGAGCAACATCTGCAAATAAAAATGAAAGAGGGGCAAAATAGATAATTTGGGGTGTCTAACTTTGTATTTATTTGAGAGTGGAACTACGGTGAAATAGAATTATTAAATGAAAAAACAATTATTTTTTTACAGATAAAAAGGAGAAGACTGATAAAGAAATTAAAAAACAGGTTCCAAAGTTGAAAAAACATGTAAAAAGTCTTTGGTGTAATTTTAAGAAATAAAGTTAGTTAACAGACATCAATCATTGGAGGCTGATTACTTAAGTCCAGTGGCATCCCGCTATAAGGCCACCAAAAAATAGTAAGAGTAGCAACTTTATATCTATGGCCACCAATTACAAAGGGTGTACAAAAAATAGTGTGCAATGAGCATAATTCTAGTAGTAACAATGGTAGGAAATTCAGAAACTAGGACGAACAGAACCCGTACATACAAGGATTTGGACCGAAGAGTGGAGGCGAGGACATAGCCCCACGACAGCGATCCTCAAGGCTCAACGCGATGGCAAGAGGAACCCCACCACCGCGGAGCCGCACCACCACCATTGCCGTGACCCAGCAGTCGTGACAAGGCCACCAGGCCATGGCACCACTTCCACCGCGGCTGCCTTTGCAGCGCCGCACCCAACTAACCTGTAATTCCAATGTTCTGCAGTCATTGCTTCTTGAGCAAGCAGTCATGCTTCAACCTGTTCAAATTCAAGGGATGCAGAGCCATAGGTCTATACTGATAATATTTCAGATAAAATAAGAAAAATGAAAACAGTTGAAGCTCATAACAAGACAAAAACATCAGCGTTGATTGAAAAAATATCTATTCATTACAATGAGATTTGCCATGGACGAGTTTTCATATTTTGAAATCGTTGCATAACGATCTCATTTTCGATACTATCAATAATGTCTTTCTCAATATATGCAATCCAACTATCATCCGTCCTTTGATCTTCCATTTGATTGAGTAACCGGTTCTTCACAATCCTCGTAGCACAAAACGCCCTCTCTACAGTAGGAGTTGCAACTGGTATGATAAGTGCCAATGTCAACAGCAAGTAAACTAATGGGTAAACACTTTTTTCTCAACCATTTTCTGTGCAAGATCCGCAATCCCATTCAATCCTGAAAACTCAATGCTAGAGCGCAAGTCCATAATGTACAACTTAAGCTGATCTTCAAGTATCAACAAGTCAAGCGCAGAAAAGTCACTTGGGTAATACTGAGCAAGCCAAATCAACTTTTTCTCGTCATAGGCAGAGAATTAATCGCTTGGATTCAAATTCTTTTAGACCAAAGATATTTTATCTGCAATTGTCATCAATATAACAATGACAACAAAATTATTTTAGACCAAAGATATTTTATCTGCAATTGTCATCAATCCATTATGGAAGAGATTGAGAGAATCCGCCGTTACCGCTTACCGCTTTAATCCAGGAAGATGTGGCCAAAGCAACTGGCAGCTTACTAACTGTTGTCTATATGTGCGTACTATTCTGTGCCAATAATATAATGTAATGCGAAGAAGCTAAAATTTGTGGCATCGTGTTATTAGTTTGTGATACTGAGGTGCAAATTGGGATGTATATATATTTTGCATTCAATCGTTGCACTGAATAAATAAAAGAATAATCAAGAGCTTGAATTTAGAGGCTTATGCAGAAGGTAAAAAAGGATTTTTTTTTTATAACTCTCCTCTATAAAAACTCCCAAGGGTTTTAATGAAGCAGTCAAAAATTTAGAAATCCAATCACTGTAACCTTTTGGGGGGGGTGTGTGTGTGTGTCTCTGTAAGAGAGAAGAGAAAGAGGGAAGGATGGAGATGGAAAAGAAAACACAGAGTACCAGGTTGGTCTTATTCCCATGTCCATACCAAGGTCACATAAATCCAATGCTTCAGCTGGGTTCCTTCCTTCACTCAAGGGGCTTTTCCATCACTGTCATTCACACCCAGTTCAACTCCCCCAACCCTTCAAACCACCCAGATTTCACCTTCTTTCCAATACAAGATGGCTTGACTGCTGAAGAGATCTCATCTGGGAATGCAGTGGCCATTTCGCTGGCCATAAATGCCAACTGCACAGCGAGTTTCCGACAGCGCTTGACTCAAGTTATGGAACAGGAACCCGAGAACAAAATCACCTGCGTTATCCATGATGACCTTATGTACTTCACTGAAGCTGTAGCTAAGGATCTAAACATCCCAAACATCATGCTACGAACTACCAGCGTTACCAATTTTCTAGCTCGTACTGCTCTCCTATGGCTTCATTCAAAAGGTCACATCCCATTCCCAGGTATGTGCCATATATATTTCTTAATCAGAATACAAAATCGTCTATCATTCTGCAAAGCTATTCTAATTCCCAGATGTTCGTTTTTCTTACTTATAACTAAGAACACAACACTGTTGGATTGCAGACTCTCAGTCACTGAGTCCGCTGCCCGATGTTGATCACCTCAGGTTGAAGGATCTGCCTACCAGCAACTTCGACACAGTAGAAAGGTACTCAGAACTAGCCAGTAATGCACACGATGTGAGGACAGCATCAGCAATCATTTGGAACACCACTGATTGTCTTGAACGATCATCACTTGCAAAGATCCAGCAACAATGCCCAGTTCCAATCTTCTCCATAGGTCCTCTTCACAAGATTGAAGCAGCAGCTTCTAGTAGCTTACTAGAAGAGGACACCAGCTGCATTGGGTGGCTCGACAAGCAATCTAACAACGCGGTTATCTACGTAAGCTTGGGAAGTCTAGCATCCATCAGTGAGAAAGAGCTCACCGAAATGGCTTGGGGATTGGCTAACAGCGAGCAGCCTTTCTTATGGGTGATCAGACCTGGCTCAGTAGGTGGTTCAAATTGGATGGAGCTATTGCCTAAAGGTTTCATAGAAGCGATTGGAGAACGCGGTTACATTGTAAAATGGGCACCCCAGAGGAAAGTTTTGTCCCATCGCGCAATCGGAGGGTTTTGGAGCCACTGCGGTTGGAACTCAACGCTAGAGAGTTTGTCCGAAGGGATTCCGATGATATGCCTGCCGTCTTTTGGCGACCAGAAGGTGCATTCAAGGTATGTTAGCCTAGTATGGAAAGTAGGGATACATTTAGACAATGAGATAGAGAGAGGAGAGATTGAGAGAGCTGTCCGGAAACTGATGGTAGATGCTGATGGGGAGGTGATGAGGGTTAGGGCCAAGGATTTGAAGGAGAAAATAGAAGTTTCTTTGAGGAAAGGTGGTTCTTCCTACAAATTCTTGAATAAGCTTGTAGAACTCATCATGTCACTTTAATTATGTATCTTTTACCACAACCTTGAATAAAGTTTCCTGCAGATGGATGCAAGAAAGAATTTCTTTGTAGTCCGTCCTCACCTTTGAATAAAATAAACGAACACAGCCCGGGATGGACCGGGATTTGAAAATGAGGTGGGCTTGATCTAAAATTAAGAACATATTGTAATCATACAAAAGAACTAAATTTAATCACAGACACGCACCTAAGTCATACATTTAATCACACAAAGACACAAACTTTTCATACTCCGACACAAAACTAGGTTTGCCCGGAAGTGGAACTCCGATAGAATAAAGTCCAACCTCCTCCTTCGGAATGTTATCGAAGCAATTAGACTAGTGCTTAAGGGAAACCAGAAGTGACCTATAACCACAACATTTCTAATTGATTCTTGAACAATGTCGTCGCTTGTCTAACGAAAGTACCCCTTACATTTGAAACTATTTAAGTTTGAATTCCAGAATTTGAAGCTATACAAGTTTGAATTCCAGAAATGGACAATAATGAGAAGTTACAAGTTGAAAAAGGATCTAATTAACTGTAACACCCTATAATTTTCCGATACAAACCGATATATCATTGCCAAATACTAACTGCAAAATGCAGCCTATGGTCATCCACTAGCTAGATTCGAGAAAGTGGCCAGCCATTCAATTACATTACTTCTCGACGCTAACATGCACTTCCAATGTTCTTATTATAACCAAAAACCTTCATTAAAGGAGTTGGGTGGCTGCACTGGCTGGTATTGCAGCACTTGAAAGCTGCCACCCCAACCATTCCCTTTGGGCTTCATTCTCATATATACTATTACCAATTTCACAAGAACATTAACTTATAAACACCTACATTTTGCGTACAGTTATGGTGGAGACGTTGAATATCGATACCGACAGAAAGAAACCCCAATCTTTCAGTGATGCCCTACATGCAATTTCTTCAGCTCAAGGTGATTTTGCACGAATTCCATTTGACCAAGATGATTGACCATTTGGAGCATGAATTGTTCTTACAGTCCTGCTCTTGTAGGGTTCTCAAAATGAGGATCTGACAACTCAATGCATGTTAGTCACAAGATTATTTAGATCCAAAGGCCTAAAATATTTGACAACTTAATAATCAAAACCAACTTAAACTCATCTTCTTGTTTTGCTTTATTAACTTGTCAAAAAATTTAAACTTTTGGATCTAAACTAATACAATTTGTAGCTAATATGCATTTGGTCCTCACAAGTCCTCAAAATCAAACCTTAGAAGAGCAGGACTCTTGTTCTTGTATTAAATTTATTCACAATTTTATTATGTTTGATTATGAGTCGTGCAAACCTCAGATTTTTTTAGGTCAGTGTTGCCAATTCACAATGAAAGTGAAAAATAAAAACGATCACTTGTCAAATTTTTTAATTATCAGCTCATTTATATGATCTTTATTACTAAAAATCTGATTGGTCAATCATCTTGAACAAAAGGATTGGCAGGAAATGTGTGGAATTTTAGGGAAGGAAGGTGTGTACCATTCTTTGGGGCTTGAATTTATGAAAGGAGATTGATTTCTAATTTTCTACGCTTCCTTTTTGACAAAGAGTAATGTTAAGAAAACTAAATTTTGAAAACTAAAAGACATGGAAGTTGATGATTGGTTATTACTTAAGCATTAATAAACGTGCTCATTTTTATTGCTGACATATAATTTAATTTACAAATATAGTCTCCAAATTTAATCTCCCTAGCATTACTCTTTGACAAAAAAGAATGTGAAAATCACTTCCTTTTATAAAATTGAGCTCGAAAAACAAGCTCATGCAAAATATGTGATTCAACTTGCTGATGGATAAGATTGAGCTTAGAAATCACTTCCCTTTACAATATTAATTTATGGATAAAAATTAAATGTATATGTAAGTGGCTTAGTGTTATAATATTTTAATTTTTGGTGGTGTTTAGCATTTGTTTTTGTTAAGATGGTAAATACAAAATAATGAAAATTTCCAGGAGTCACTGTAAGGAGGCAACATTTCTTCATTTCAAAAACCACATTTTTCCTGAAAAAAAAAAAATAAGGCTAAAACAACTGCTCAACAATTAATTAAGTTAAAGGTATTAAACTTTAGGTATTGGAGGAATACTAACTCAACAAGGACAATCAACTTATCATGATCCCTAAGAGATGAAGACATAGCTGCTTGTTTTTCCCTTGTCTAACAATATAACAATGACAATAAAATTATCTTAGAGCAAAGATATTATCTGCAATTGTCATCAATCCCTTCTGGAAGGGATGAGAGAATCAGCCGTTACCACTTACGGCTTTAATCCAGGAAGATATAGCCAAAGCAACTGGTAGCTGAATAGTTATAGCCTATAGATGCTCGTATACACCATTATCATATTTTGTGCCAATAATAGTGTAATGTGAAGAAGCTAAAATTTGTGGCATCGTGTTATTAGTTTGTGATACTGGGATGGCAAATTGGGATGCATATATATATTTTATATTCAGTCATTGTCCTGAATAAATCAAAGAGTAATCAAGAGCTTGAATTTAGAGGCTTATGCAGAAGGTAAAAAAGGATTTTTTAGTAACTCACCTCTATATAAACTCCAAGGGTTTCAATGAAACAGTCAAAGATTTGGAAATCCAATCACTGTAACCTTTGTGGGGTGTGCGTGTGTCTCTAAGAGAGAAGAGAAAGAAGGAAGGATGGAGATGGAAAAGAAAACAGAGTAACAGGTTGGTCTTATTCCCATGTCCATACCAAGGTCATATAAATCCAATGCTTCAGCTGGGTTCCTTGCTTCACCCAAAGGGCTTTTCTTTCACTGTTATTCACACCCTGTTCAACTCCCCCAACCCTTCAAACCACCCGGATTTCACCTTCTTTCCAATACAAGATGGCTTGACAGCTGAAGACATCTCATCTGGGAATGCAGTGGCCACTTTGCTGGCCATAAATGCCAACTCCACAGCAAGTTTTTGAGAGCACTTGACTCAAGTTATGGAACAGGAACCCGAGAACAAAATCACATGCGTTATCCATGATGACCTTATGTACTTCACTGAAGCTGTAGCTAAGGATCTAAACATCCCAAACATCATGCTACAAACTATCAGCGTTACCAATTTTCTAGCTCGTACTGCTCTCCTACGGCATCATTCAAAAGGTCACATCCCATTCCCAGGTATGCGCCATATATATCTCTTAATCAGAATGCAAAATCTATGTCTGTCATTCTGCAAAGCTATTCTAATTCCCAGATGTTCGTTTTTCTTACTTATAACTAAAAACACAACACTGTTGGATTGCAGACTCTCAGTCACTGAATCTGCAGCCCGATGTTGATCACCTCAGGTTGAAGGATCTGCCCACCAACAACTTCGACACATTAGAAAAGTACTCAGAACTAGCCGGTAATGCACACAATGTGAGGACAGCATCAGCAATCGTTTGGAACACCACTGATTGTCTTGAACAATCATCACTAGCACAGATCCATCAACAATGCCCAGTTCCAATCTTCTCCATAGGTCCTCTTCACAAGATTGAAGCAGCAGCTTCTAGTAGCTTACTAGAAGAGGACACCAGCTGCATTGGGTGGCTCGACAAGCAATCTAACAACGAGGTTATCTATGTACGCTTGGGAAGTGTAGCATCCATCAGTGAGAAAGAGCTCGCCGAAATGGCTTGGGGATTGGCTAACAGCAAGCAGCCTTTCTTATGGGTGATCAGACCTGGCTCAGTAAGTGGTTCAAATTGGATGGAGCTATTGCCTCAAGGTTTCATAGAAGCGAATGGAGAACACAGTTACATTGTAAAATGGGCACCCCAGAGGGAAGTTTTGTCCCATCGCACAATTGGAGTCACTGCGGTTGGAACAAACCCTAGAGAGTTTGTCTGAAGGGATTCCAATGATATGCACGCCATCTTTTGGTGATCAGATGGTGCATTCCAGGTATGTTAGCCTAGTATGGAAAGTAGGGCTACATTTGGACAATGAGTTAGAGAGAGGAGAGATTGAGAGAGCTGTCAGGAAACTGATGGTAGATGCTGCTGGGGAGGTGATGAGGGTTAGGGCCAAGGACTTGAAGGAGAAAATAGAAGTTTCTTTGAGGAATGGTGGTTCTTCCTACAGTTTCTTGAATAAGCTTCTAGTACTTATCATGTCACTTTAATTGCAACAAAAATGTATTTCTAAACACAACCTTGAATAAAGCTTCCGGCAGATGGATGCAAGAAAGATTTTCTTTGTTGTCCATCCTCAACTTTGAATAAAATGTCCTATATATTGTAATGCATAAGTTGGTAACACAAATCTAGAACTTGAAGGAATAGAGCAAACTAAGAGGCGTGGTTGGTTCAGTTAGAGTTAGGGCACTAAAATGGCCCAACTAGATTTGCTCTTATATTTTGTTAGGTATGCTTTATGCAGAACCCAAACAATTTGTACCCAAACATCACATATGGCCGTGAGGAGAACAACAATGTGAGTTGCCTCAGTTCAGTACCCTACAACAGAAGGTATTACGTAACCGAATAAACAAAACAATAGATATACATCCATTCATCGTTAGGAGAAAAACTTCATTGTGGACATCCATACCATGTGACCATGCCCCGCACACAAAGCACTCTCCGCATTTGTCCCGCATACCCACCCACAATTCAAGGTCATCTTCAGCTGTCATTTGGAACAGCGTGGAATGCCCCGAACAATCATTGCTGGTACGGCTCCAGCAATAGTACCAAATTCCATTGTTTACTATCGATACTCTGCACGAAACTGTTCCACCCCTATATATAAGCTTGTTGAAAGAGGACCAGAGCTGTATGTCATGGCTCGATAAATAAGCACACTATTCTGCCATCCATGTAAGCCCAGGAAGCGTAGCTTTCATGGACACTGGACAGTAAAGATTTACATATTGGCAATGGGGTCTGGCCAACAGTGAGCAGCCTTTCATGTGGGTGTTTCGGACGGACCCCATATCAATGCCCGAAGGTTTCCAAAAAACGGTTGGTGAAAGGGTCACAGTGAAATTGGCACCCCAAAAGCAAGTCCTGGCATACAGGGTTGTGGGAGGGTTTTGGAGCCATTGCAGCTGGAATCCAACCGCTGAGACTATCTCGGAAGGAGTCCCATTGATATGTAAGGATCAACAAAATTTTCTTTTGAATACGGTGATGAGAATTTGAACACGAATTTGAACTTGGCTGCAAAAGAACGAATACAGTACCATAATTAACTAGTCTAACTCACATTTGTAAATTTTCTCATTTATTTCGTAAGAACAAAATTTTCTTATTAATATACTGTAAACATACAAAAGAAGTAAACTTATATGATTCTGAAATTTTATTAACAAACAAAAAAATACAAAGTAGATGGCACTAACATCAAGTTCCACACTACATATGTGGAGCCTAAAATAATCCCAAAAAAGACAAGTGGACTTTTATCTGAGAAAGACAAGATTGCCCTTAATAAATGGACAGGCTTCTTAGATGCTCCCACACGCAGCTCACACCCATGAAGGTCTCAGCGGCTGAATTCGACTACCCACAGCTCATCTGCTCTTGGCAAGGAATTAAGGATAAGCATTAATTACCCAAATCCTATCTTTAATACATTCTCAATTGAACATTGATTCCAATCAAGTAAGTAATCACAATTTAAATAAATTATGGATAATTACACTATTATCTCAAGATATTATTTCCTATTTAATATCTTGAGAATATTTCTACATAAACACCTTGGCCATTAGGATGATGCTATGTGTAGGGTAAAACCTTAACATTGTGGTCAGCCCTATCCCTATAAATACCCCATATTCTACCAAATTTTCAGAACTTTTGCTACCCCTAAAAAAGCCTTGAACACTTTACTCTCTTAGAGAAACTGACTTACACATCGGAGATCCATTGGCCTAACCACCCCCCTCCCACCTCGTGGGCGCATGAAGCTTAGGTCTTTGATCAAAGGTGTTAATTGTTTTGCAGGTGCATTTTGTCAAGACTGAAGACAGCGGAAATTTGCATCGACAAATTGGTGCTTTCATTAAGAGCTGATTCAAATACTCGAAGAAGTCTCTTGCATTTGTTTCTTGACTTTTTTGTTACATTGAATTTCTCACACGTCGTATCAATTAATTTTTCTTAGAAAAGTTACTTGATCAATCCCTGGAGAAAGGATACACACTACTAGAAATTTGGCTATAAGCCATCCTTTTCATTGATGGCTATTGTCAAGTGTTGCCACTCACATTGGTGGCAAACCTCTATGGTCACCAAGCACCCACTAAACTAGAGAGTGTGGCCTATGTAGAGGACTCTATTGTAACAATGGCTACCAATATTGCATTGGTGCCTTTGCTACAGTGCCACCCTAATTCACATCGGTAACAAAGTTGCAAAATAATATTAAAAAAAAAAAAAAAAAGATGCCCTGTGTGGGCACCCAAATTAGAGTATCATATTTCCTTTTCTATTTTTGGTGAGAAAACAAATTGTTATATCATTAAAATGTAAGAATACAACTATAAATTTGCATAACTGATATTTTATAGAATTTTGTACAAATGTTGTAACCAAACTTTAAAAAGTCTTCGAACCCTTTGTTTCCAAGAGCTTAATCATCTCAATAACTTGAATCTGATCATCAGCTACAGCTTGCACCCAAAATCAAACCCACAAATTTTGTAAGAATAACGTTAACTCAAGTCCAACTGAAAGTGATTAGAGTTGAGGACAACACTGAGATATGACATATAAATACCAAGGAAAAGTAGATTTTCAAGGGGTTTGCAGTCATAATTTACCATACAAAAATCTCCACAAATTCACTGCAACCCTTCTACAACTTCAACTAAGAACATATTAAATTGACAAGTTCATGAACATGCAGACTACCTTCAACCTTGAAACAACAAATGATCTCCCAATCAGCGTGGGTATTCAAGAATAAGATAAAGAATGCATAGATACTATATTTATGACCAATGGGCAGAGGACAAGATACAACAAAGCATTTACATATGAATGAGGGAGAACAGAAATGAGAATGGAATATCAGTGAAGAGCGCGCGCATCTTCACACATATAAATGCATTAACATTTTCTCTTTTTTCAGAAACTCAAAAAACCAGGAAATTCCAATACAAGAGATCACCAACTAATGATCAAGGCAGATACAAAACAGAAAACAAAAAAGTGAGTTCTAATTGAATTCAACCTGCATTGCAGAAATGAACATTGTAGCTTATATACATTCTCAATGTCCTCAGCAAGTCCTCTCTCCAATGGCTCTACAATCTACAAAAGGTTTTTAGAAGATTATAATTTAAAAACTGAATCACATAAAATTTCTGAAATTAGGTTGCTTCTTACCATGGTTATTTTATTCTTCTTATTGGATGTTTCAGCAAAGCATTTGATTGACGAAGGCTACACTGTTTCACAAAATGAAACAACATGATCAACCTACAGACAAAAGCATATCCATCAAGAAAAGAAGAAAATAAAATTTCACATTCTTAAGGGGTAGAAAAATTACTTTAAAAAGAAAAAACGTGAAGATCACGAAGATTGTTGGAGACTGATTCCAAAAACAAATACAAACATAGTAAAATTCAACTCAAATTCGTGCAATATAATATAAGCCAAACAACCCCAATTTTCTCAGGAAACCAAAAAACCCCAAGAAATAAAAAACGACAATGTGAATTCCAGGATCTAATATAAAATAATCAAGATCTAAAAAAAAAGAAAAAAAAAGAAAAAAACAAAGAATGTGGATCCGAACCTTTCCTGGCCGGTGGTGTTCCAAATCTGGACCTTGACGACCTTATCGTCGAGCCGAATGCTTCTGGTGGCAAGGGAAACCCAAAACTAACCATCGCTATCTCTGACTTTTTAAATATTCAGACAAAAATCAAAGCACAAACCACCAAAAGATCCAAATAAAAAAAATTAGCCCAAAAAAACAAAGTGCAAAGATAAATTATATACCTGGCCCAAAAAGGGTTTGCAAACTCCCACAACAAAACCCTAAAGTTGGAAGATAAGCGTTTCCTGCAACCAAAAACAAAATCAGACAAAAGATCCACACGCAAAATAGGAAAAAAATAAAGAAAACACTTAGCAGTAATCCAATTTTACAACAATCAATTAAAATTTTTTCTTACCAGCCAAGCACAAAATAACGGCACACAGCAACCAACGCACCCAAACCATTGCGATTTTTCCGCGGAAAACAGCGAGAAAAACAGGCCAACCACCCTTCTAAACAATCAGATCGCGATGAAAACAGCCAGACACACTCAGAGAAACGCAAAGAGAGACGGAAAAACAGAGAGATGAAAAGAAGAGGAAAAGAAAAAGTGAAAATGCTGGAAGTGGAAGTAAAGGTGGAAGATGCTGAGGAAAAGAAAAGGATAAATTAAACTTTCATACCTTAGATTTGGGGTCTATTTCAATTCCTTACAATATCTTCAAAAAATTTCACTTTCATACCTTAAATACCATTTTATTTCAAAATAATACCTCTGTTACATTTTTCATCCATTGATTCGTTAAGTGCTGACGTAACTTCTACATATATATACCACGTAGTTGCCAAATGTCCATCACATGGCAAAAAAGATAACTTCTAAATTTCTTTTTAAAAAACCTGAATTTTCTTTAAAAAAAAAAAATATATATATATATATATATATATTTGAAACTCATCCCTAAACCTGCACCCCTTAGACCATCTCCAATGGTTGGGCTAAAAGCCAAATTTTTTAGCCCGGAAAATTTAGCTTTTAGCCCAGAAACAACTTTTCTGCTCCAACCGTTCTGGCCTAAAATTTTAGCCCGGGATTATTAAAGAATGAACTTATGCTTCTTTTTTTTTGTTAAATTAATTTTTTTAAAAAAAATAAATATGTAGACTATCGTAAATTAATTTTATGAACATTTTAATCTAAAAAAATTTAAATTCCGATAAATATTGAAAAATCACTAAATTTCCCACAAACCACAATTAATAAAGTACATAATTAATACACTTAATTAATAAAGCACATGATTAATAAACTTAATTAATAAAGCACATAATTAATAAAGCACATAATTCATACACTACATAAACTTAACAATCATATCCACTATCTTCACTTGGTGATGGACTTCGTTGAAATGTTGGGATATAGGGTTGAGAAGATTCATCATCTTGAAACATACTCCTTGAGGCAGACTTTCGCATAATTTCCTTTTGCTTATCACGTAAGAACTTCTTCCTCTCTGGAGTGTATTGGCTGAGGTCCTTCATCATGAATTCAATTTCAAACCTATTTTCCTCCCTATCCGAGATTTCCTTCATTTGCAAACGCATTCGAGCCGCTTCTTCTTGGCGAGCGCTATGAGTCTCGTTCAATTTTGCCATTCCGGTATCAAAGTGTCCACTCATCAGATCTTGGGACTTCCCTTTTCTCTTTGCTTCCTTTTGCTTATCTCTTCCTGGGGGCCTTGCAAAAGAAGGAGATGGGGTCGTTTCATCGACACCTTCAGCAACACCTTCATCTCCGGCATTTGTCTGTGCAGCTTCACGTTGAAATAATCTTCCCCATTGTTGGTCCGCATCGGTTCCCCACCTTGGACAATCCTTGAGGATGTCCCAAGCATGTTGCAACTTAAAAACTTGATTTTTTGGTGTTACTCTTGTCTTGTAAATTTCCATTGCTTTGTCACCCTATGCAAAAAATACATAAAAATAATTAGTTGCAACATAATATTATGTACATGACAAATAAAATATCAAGAACAAAACTCACAATTTCTATGGCGCTCCTCCCACTAGCCATGCCAACCACGGCTCTCTCCAAGCTTCCCTTCCATAAAGTGCATGCTTTGTTGATAGTCTTCCACCGATCATAAACACCACCACCATCCCGCCTGTTACCATTGCAGTTTTCTTGAAACTTTGCAATGATTTTATCCCACAAAACCTTCTTATTTTGATTAGTGTCAACTGCACCATCTTCGCTAACAGAAACTCATGCCAAGCATAGAGCAACATCTTCCTCACAAGTCCAATTACGACCTCTAATATGCTCTCTTGCCATGTTGAACAATTTGGAAATGGAAAGAAATGGTAGAAAGATAAATTGGAAGAATTGTAAGAGAAATTTGAGTTTTGTGTGGATGTTTGAACAAATACATAGGTATTTATAGAGTTTTTGGGTGAATTTTGAGTTAAATAATTTTTTTTAATTATTTTAACCGTTAGATTTAAATTTGGGCCATTAGATCTTTTTTTTTACCGTTAGATTTGATTATATTTGATCTCAGTCGTTGGATTCAATGTATTTTAAAATAACATATTTTAAAAAATCAAATTTGAATTTGGACCGTTGGATCAACCAACGGTCCTTGAAACACATCTGTTGGATTGCAAAAATAGCCGTTGGACTTCAGCTGGGTGGCCGACAACCCGCTGACAGCGGGGCCCACCCTGTCGGGCAAGGTCTGCAAGCGCTCCGCGTGGGGCGCGTACGCGAGTGAGCGGGCCGAGACTGGCCTTTGGGCCAGCGAGTCCAGTCGCGCGGGGGGGGGGGGGGGGGGCGGAATTCTGGGGGGAATTTGGCCCAACTTTAACATTTGGCATTTAGCCCAATGTTTTAGCATGGGTTGGAGATGGTTTGGGGGGAAATTTGGCATTTAGCCCATTGTTGGAGATGGTCTTAGGGAGAAAAGAAAATAAAAAAAGGCCAAACCCAGTTCGTCCCCTCCTTTTCATCCTCAAAAACCTGAAGTATGAAAGTGTAATTTATCCAAAAAAAAAGGTGAAAGAAGCTTCCAGTATCTTTTCTACAAAACGCAACGTGGCCAAAGCTCAACCAAAAAGCACCTTTCAAACGAGAGCAACACCTGCAAAAATAGACAATTTGAGGGTGTCTAACTTCGTATTTATTTGGGTGTGAAACTATTGTAGAATAGAATTATTAAATGAAAAAATAATTATTTTTTACATATAAAAAGGAGAAGACTGATAAAGAAATAAAAAAACAGATCCCAAAGTTGAAAAAACATGTAAAAAGTCTTTGGTGTAATTTTAAGAAATAAAGTTAGTTAACATACACCAATCATTGGTCGTTGATTTCTTAAGGCCACCGATATCAGTGGCATCCCACTATAAGGCCACCAAAAAATAGTAAGAGTAGCAACTTTATATCTATGGCCACTAATTGCAAAGAGTGTGCAAAAAATGGCGTGCAATGAGCATAATTCTAGTAGTGACAATGGTAGGAAATTCAGAAACTAAGACGAACAGAACCTGTACATACGAGGATTTGGACCGAAGAGTGGAGGCGAGGACATAACCCCACGACAGCGATTCTCAAGGCTCAACGCAATGGCAAGAGGAACCCCACCGCCGCAGAGCCGCACCACCACCATTGCCGTGACCCAGCAGCCGTGACAAGGCCACCAGGCCATGGCACCACTTCCACCGCCGCTGCCTTTGCAGCGCCGCACCCAACTAACCTGTAATTCCAATGTTCTGCAGTCATTGCTTCTTGAGCAAGCAGTCATGCTTGAACCTGTTCAAATTCAAGGGATGCAGAGCCATAGGTCTATACTGACAATATTTCAGACAAAATAAGAAAAACAAAAACAGTTGAAGCTCATAACAAGACAAAAACATCAGCGTTGATTGATAAAATATCTATTCATTACAATGAGATTTTCCATGGACAAGTTTTCATATTTTGAAATCGTTGCATAACGATCTCATTTTCGATACTATCAAGAATGTCTTTCTCAATATATGCAATCCAGCTATCATCCGTCCTTTGATCTTCCATTTGATTGAGTAACCGGTTCTTCACAATTCTCGTAGCACAAAACGCCCTCTACAGTAGGAGTTGCAACTGGTAAGATAAGTGCCAATGTCAACAGCAAGTAAACTAATAGGTAAACACTGTCTTTTTTTGTCTCAACCATTTTCTGTGCAAGATCCGCAATCCCATTCAATCCTGAAAACTCAATGCTGGAGCGCAAGTCCATAATGTACATCTTAAGCTGATCTTCAAGTATCATCAAGTCAAACGCAGAAAAGTCATTTGGGTAACTGAGCAAGCCAAATCAACTTTTTCTTGTCATAGGCAGAGAATTAATCGCTTGGATTCAAATTCTTTTAGACCACAGATATTTTATCTGCAATTGCCATTAATATAACAATGACAACAAAATTATTTTAGACCAAAGATATTTTATCTGCAATTGTCATCAATCCATTATGGAAGAGATGAGAGGATCAGCCGTTACCGCTTACCGCTTTAATCCAGGAAGATGTGGCCAAAGCAACTGGTAGTTTAATAACTGTCGCCTATATGTGCGTACTATTTTGTGCCAATAATATAATGTAATGCGAAGAAGCTAAAATTTGTGGCATCGTGTTATTAGTTTGTGATACTGAGGTGCAAATTGGGATGTATATATATTTTACATTCAATCGTTGTACTGAATAAATAAAAGAATAATCAAGAGCTTGAATTTAGAGGCTTATGCAGAAGGTAAAAAAAGATTTTTTTTAATAACTCTCCTCTATAAAAACTCCCAAGGGTTTTAATGAAGCAGTCAAAAATTTAGAAATCCAATCACTGTAACCTTTTGGGGGTGTGTGTGTGTGTGTGTCTCTGTAAGAGAGAAGAGAAAGAGGGAAGGATGGAGATGGAAAAGAAAACACAGAGTACCAGGTTGGTCTTATTCCCATGTCCATACCAAGGTCACATAAATCCAATGCTTCAGCTGGGTTCCTTCCTTCACTCCAGGGGCTTTTCCATCACTGTCATTCACACCCAGTTCAACTCCCCCAACCCTTCAAACCACCCAGATTTCACCTTCTTTCCAATACAAGATGGCTTGACTGCTGAAGAGATCTCATCTGGGAATGCAGTGGCCATTTTGCTGGCCATAAATGCCAACTGCACAGCGAGTTTCCGACAGCGCTTGACTCAAGTTATGGAACAGGAACCCGAGAACAAAATCACCTGCGTTATCCATGATGACCTTATGTACTTCACTGAAGCTGTAGCTAAGGATCTAAACATCCCAAACATCATGCTACGAACTACCAGCGTTACCAATTTTCTAGCTCGTACTGCTCTCCTATGGCTTCATTCAAAAGGTCACATCCCATTCCCAGGTATGTGCCATATATATTTCTTAATCAGAATACAAAATCGTCTATCATTCTGCAAAGCTATTCTAATTCCCAGATGTTCGTTTTTCTTACTTATAACTAAGAACATAACACTGTTGGATTACAGATTCTCAGTCACTGAGTCCGCTGCCCAATGTTGATCACCTCAGGTTGAAGGATCTGCCCACCAACAACTTCGACACAGTAGAAAGGTACTCAGAACTAGCCGGTAATGCACACGATGTGAGGACAGCATCAGCAATCGTTTGGAACACCACTGATTGTCTTGAACGATCATCACTTGCAAAGATCCAGCAACAATGCCCAGTTCCAATCTTCTCCATAGGTCCTCTTCACAAGATTGAAGCAGCAGCTTCTAGTAGCTTACTAGAAGAGGACACCAGCTGCATTGGGTGGCTCGACAAGCAATCTAACAACGCGGTTATCTACGTAAGCTTGGGAAGTGTAGCATCCATCAGTGAGAAAGAGCTCGCCGAAATGGCTTGGGGATTGGCTAACAGCGAGCAGCCTTTCTTATGGGTGATCAGACCTGGCTCAGTAGGTGGTTCAAATTGGATGGAGCTATTGCCTAAAGGTTTCATAGAAGCGATTGGAGAACGCGGTTACATTGTAAAATGGGCACCCCAGAGGAAAGTTTTGTCCCATCGCGCAATCGGAGGGTTTTGGAGCCACTGCGGTTGGAACTCAACGCTAGAGAGTTTGTCCGAAGGGATTCCGATGATATGCCTGCCGTCTTTTGGCGACCAGAAGGTGCATTCAAGGTATGTTAGCCTAGTATGGAAAGTAGGGATACATTTAGACAATGAGGTAGAGAGAGGAGAGATTGAGAGAGCTGTCCGGAAACTGATGGTAGATGCTGATGGGGAGGTGATGAGGGTTAGGGCCAAGGATTTGAAGGAGAAAATAGAACTTTCTTTGAGGAAAGGTGGTTCTTCCTACAAATTATTGAATAAGCTTGTAGAACTCATCATGTCACTTTAATTATGTATCTTTTACCACAACCTTGAATAAAGTTTCCTGCAGATGGATGCACGAAAGAATTCCTTTGTATTCCGTCCTCACCTTTGAATAAAATGTCCTATATATTGTAATGCATTAGTTGGTAACACAAATCTGCGAAGGAGTCCCAGTGATATGCCAACCATATGTGAGGATCAACAAAATTTTCCTTTGAAAGTGCGATATTATAAACTGCTCTAATTTACGGCGATGAGAATTTGAACAAGACTTTGAGCTTGGCTGCAAAAGAACGAATGCACTACCATAATCAACTAGCCAAACTCACATTTGCAAATTTGATCATTAATTTCTTAAGAACTTACTGTAAACATACAAAAGAAGTAAACTTATATGATTCTGAACAAAACTAGACAGTAGGAGTGAATTTTATTAACAAGCAAAAAAATACATAGTAGATGACATAACATCAAGTTCCACACTAAATATTACATTAATTTCAGCTAAAAGCATCACAAACACACACCTACGTCGTACATTTCAATCACACAAAGACACAAACTTTTCACATTCCGACACAGAACGAGGTTACCCATTATACCAGAAAGTGCACCCGATCGCTTCAATCATCGCCGGAAATTTCAATAACCCTGACATCGCGCCCGCCGCCGGCGGCCGCCAACTTAGGAACAGTCACAGTGAGCACTCCATTGCTCATGAACGCCTTGAGCTCCTCGATCCTGGCGTCGTCCGGCAGCTTCATCCTCGTCGTGAAGCTGCCGCTGTCGGTGCTGATCTGGAGCACTCGCTCGTCCTCAAGCGAAACGAGCACTTCCTCGTTGGCAAACGCCGGCAGCGCCGCGGTCAGGACGTGGGCGTTTCGGGTCTCTCTCCAGTCGAGCCGGGAGTTCACGGAAGCAAACGGATTGAATTCCCGGAGAACGTTGGAGATTGGGGAATGGAATGGAAATGCTCGGAATGGGAAATCCGTGAATGGGTCCCACAGGTCGAGGGCCGATGAGAGATTGTCGAAGTCGTCGCTGCCTCGTCGCTCGTTGATTGGGACGATCGACATCTTTGTCTGGAAAACAAGTAGGAGAGGAAAGTGAGGAACTTTGAGGTTGGTTGCGGAAGTAGGAGCTGAGAGTGCTTGTTGGCGGTTTTGTGTACTGACAACGTGGATTGAGGGGAAGGAGCTCGCAGGTTCTAGAAATTAGGTGGACCTGGAGGACATTGGGCTGGACAAAATGATCCATGAAGATGTGATCAAACAAACCAAGAAGTTGGGCCAGAAAACCGGACTGAACCGGGGGAAGTTGGGAAATTGGAAAGAAAATGGGACCGAATCGGAGGGAGTGGTGATGATACCAACAATTTGATCACTACTATCCAGAGGGAGTTGACAATTGGGGTCAGAAAACCGGACTGAAATGATGAACTAGACCGTCCAGTTCAGCTTCGCGTGGTTTGCTATTTTTGAGTCGTGGGTTGAAAAACCGAATTCGAACATACATTCTAGTTCGGTGCATCTTTCAGTGTAAAATTAGAGAACCAAGGGGTCCGGTCCGGTCCGGTCTTGAACCTTGGCTTGGTTACCCACCTAGTAATTATTATTTTTTTTTTCAATAAGAATTCAAAATCGAAAACAAAATGTGAATTAAGACTAAAGCCGCACTTGATACTACGATATAATCATATTTCTCTTAACTCGCTGTCACAAATGTCCAGCCAAAATATGACTTGTAAAATGCTGCTGGTTTGTTCAACTACTGCTATATTTGAGAATGCGGAGAACCATATGAATTGTAACTTGTTCAGGATAACCGGCAACAAGCTTTACAACTCTGCAGCCAATCTGCCCATTAGATTCTGTACGGCATCAACCGATACGAGTAAATATCCTTAGCTAGTACTAAAGGGAAACCAGAAGAGTCCTATAACCATAAGTAAGACCCCCGGAAGTGGAACTCCGATAGAATAAAGTCCAACATCCTCCTTCGTAATGGTTATCGAAGCATTTGGACTAGTACTTGAGGGAAACCAGAAGAGTCCTATAACCACAACATTTCTAATTGATTCTTGAGCAACGTCGTGGCTTGTCTAACGTAAGTACCCCCTTATATTTGAATCGATACAAGTTTGAAGTTCAGAAATCAAAGCAAATGCCAAAAGTAGTAACTAGATAGAGAAGCAGAGACCAGATGAACAGAACATTCTGTTATTCAACAAAACAAAGTGTGCTTCAACAAATAACAATAAATTGAGCTGGGTCGCCTATTTTTGTATCAGTGGAGAATTGACAATAATGACAAGTTACAAGTCGAAAAAGGATCTAATTCAGTTTAATTGTAACACCCTATAATTTTCCGATACAATATGATATATCATGGCAAATACTAACTGCGAAATGCAGTCTATGGTCATCCACTAGCTAGATTCGAGAAAGTAGTCAGCCATTCAAGTACATTACTTCTCGACACGAACCTGTAATTCCAATGTTCTGCAGTCATTGCTTCTTGAGCAAGCAGTCATGCTTGAACCTGTTCAAATTCAAGGGATGCAGAGCCATAGGTCTATACTGACAATATTTCAGATAAAATAAGAAAAATTAAAACAGTTGAAGCTCATAACAAGACACAAACATCAGCGTTGATTGATAAAATATCTATTCATTACAATGAGATTTGCCATGGACGAGTTTTCATATTTTGAAATCGTTGCATAACGATCTCATTTTCGATACTATCAAGAATGTCTTTCTCAATATATGCAATCCAACTATCATCCGTCCTTTGATCTTCCATTTGATTGAGTAACCGGTTCTTCACAATCCTCGTAGCACAAAACGCCCTCTCTACAGTAGGAGTTGCAACTGGTAAGATAAGTGCCAATGTCAACAGCAAGTAAACTAATGGGTAAACACTGTCTTTTTTTGTCTCAACCATTTTCTGTGCAAGATCCGCAATCCCATCCAATCCTGAAAACTCAAAGCTGGAGCGCAAGTCCATAATGTACATCTTAAGCTGATCTTCAAGCATCATCAAGTCAAGTGCAGAAAAGTCATTTGGGTAATACTGAGCAAGCTGAATCAACTTTTTCTTGTCATAAGCAGAGAATGAATCTCTTGGATTCAAACATGCCACACAAAGAAGCAACTCAGTATTCAACTCAGCGAAATGAATATTTAGCTCTTGAAGTTGCATGTCAATAACATTACAAAACACCTCAATGCGATAATGATGCATGTTTGTTACCACCGGAGGTTTTTTTATCCCTATAGTTTGAAACATGTCATTCATGTTAGGAACTTTAATCTGATGTTTGTCACAGAAAGAAAAAACCTGACTGAGTAAAGAATCCCAACCACTCTCCTTCATCATTTTCAGCTCTTCATTACATCTTCTGACTAGGTTAATGGCATTCACAATATCCTGGTCTTTTTTTTGTAATGCCTGTGACAAAGCATCTGTGAATCCCAAAACATTTATCATCATATGTAAACTAAAAATACATTCAAAGGACCAGAGGGAACCCAATAGAACCTCTGCTTTACATTTCTGCTCAGTCTTTGATCCAAAATCTGCTATGACCTCAAGTACATCTATCACAGATGAGAACATGGTAAGCACGTTGTTAAATTCTTAAACTTTGAGCTGCCTTCATTCAGACCTTGTCCACTTAGAAGATCACTGGTATTGAGTGCTTCAGAAACCAAAGCACCATGTTTCTTCCGAAGAATATCACAACATTCAACAAATGCCCCAATAACATTCACCAGATTAGCAACCGAGGTAAAGAGATGGAAGATTTCAAAAGGATCCTTTGCCACATCAATAAGTGTTGAATGAAGATCATGAGCAAAGCAATGAACATAATAGGCACACTCGTTCTCCTTCATTATAAGTGTCTTAAGACTATTCAACTCACCTAGCATATTACTTGTCCCACCATAACCTTGGCCCCGTAGCTTTGACATGCTTAATCCATGAGTAGAAAAGAAATCATCAATAACCACCTTACATGAGTCAGCAGTATTATCAGTGGCTTGTACAATGCCTAAAAAATGCTCAATCACATGACCTTTATCCACAAAGCGTATAACAATAGCCAATTGATTCATTGGAGACATGTCATGAAGCTCATCGATGAGAATGGAAAAATACAAATCACCAATATCTTTAGCTATTGCTTTGGTAATTTCCATTGAAAAAGCAGTTATAATGTCCCTCTGAGTATCAGGTGAAGTCAACTTCAGACTTAAGGGAGAATTTCTCAATGTGATAACTTTTAACTCCTCGTGACGACCACATTGGAAGTTCCAGAGTCCAAGAAAAACATCTTCGTTGTTTGAACCTTCATATTCATCATCATCTCCGCAATATATAAGCCCTTGATGCAAAAGAAACCTCATACAAACAATTGATAAACCCAAAAGAGTTTCATATTCCTTTTGTGCTTGGTTCTGCTTCAATAAACCATCGTAGGTTCTCCAAGCTTGGCTGTGGGCACTATTCCATCCTCCAATGTAACCCTGCAACCTTTCTTTCTTCTTCCAATTCGAAAACCCTTTGCTAATAAAGCAATCACCGCCCACTTGCTCTCCCGTATTTGGCTTAAACATATAACAACACAAACAATAAGCAGCGTCTAGCTAAAAGTGCTTTGGTGGCTCACGAGGACTTGACGGTGGTTCTGACAGAACATCACAAATGTAGGATCACCTTTAGGTGTTGTGTAATTAGTATTTGTTCTTTTGGACTGCACTTGGGCTTTCTATGCTCTGATACCAAACTGACACACCCCGACCGAAATCAAGGCGTGTTGGCCGTCACCCTCACATGACGACCAGCACGCCTTGATTTCAGTCAGGGTGTGTCATACGGTCAACAAAGATTATAAATGAATTAATACCAAAAGGAAATTAAATTAAATAAAAGAATCATATCTAATTTTGGATTAAAACAAGGGGTGTGTTATCCACACACTCCTTGTTAATTTCTATATGTTTATTTTCTTCAATTTATCAGATTCGACAACCGAAAATTAAAAGGATGTATAAAAAGTAAAATGGGGTGTGTGAATATCATGCCCCTAAAACAAATATAAACAACAAAGGTAGTTTAAGATGAGAATTTGTGCTTTGAAATACCACTTAAAATTCCAATAATCCTCCACATATTTCAAAATACAAATTGAATCACCAGAAAGGAATTTGATAAATAAAAGGATAACGAGGACAATGATGTACCAAGGGAAAGTGAGAATCCAACACATCAGAACTGGCGTCTTTTGGACTGTGAACCAGCCTTAGGACGAGCTAGCCATAACTCACAGAAATTTGGTGAAAATTAAATTGAATCATAGGACTAACCATCCACATTGAATCCTCTGAATCGAGCTTATTCTAGTAGGTTGGTGCGAATAAGCCCTGTGCCCACCTGGATATTCACGAGTGCTCTAGAGAACCAACCTAAGCTCTCATAGGAAGTGGCTCCACTCCCACACTCGTATAGGTGAATCCATCGAATGTGTACTGTAGTCAAGCACACCACCCATATATAGGCTATGGTATTCATTCAGAACATAAGTTCAACCTCACACGCTGCAATAAGTGCACTATCTACACCATAGGGATAGACTCTTGATAATAATAACATTCGATATAAACAATAGTGCATGCCCGATCAACAACTTGTTCTTAACCATATGAACGTACTTTTTGGGATCTCCATTCACATAGGTTGGGTTACCATCACTCTTGATCGATGTTATAGGCATAAGTCTCATCCCCCTCAATGTAATAATCATCACAAGCATCTAGTTTAGTGGATTTGTCAGAGGATTAGCTAGATCCATTTCTGACCTCAAAACAATTATATCAAATACATATATCATTTAGCTTAATGCCCCATAGCTATGATATCACACACAATGAACCAACTAGTCTCTTCCACAAATAGTTATATATCACAATAATAGACTCAAACAAAGTTGGTCTCTTCCATATAAAATGGGCTATAACAAAGAGGTTGTTAATTAAGCCTCAAATAAATATCTTTTCCAACGAGTTTCAACTCATGTTCCAATCCAAAGTGAACCTGCATATCTATTTAACATATATGTGCCAAGCATGACATCTCAACATAATATGGCATTTGCACGTATAACATTACCATAAGTTGTCTAATAAAATCACTGCTCATTCATATTAATATTTAATATATACTATATAGTACCTCAAAATATTTAGCATTCAAAATGCCTCTGCAATGATCCATGGAACTTTTTGGTACACTTGTTCAGATCCTTTACATCTCACCAGCTGAGTGTTAATATAATAATGGTTACATATAATTTGCATACCATAATTGATGAGAACAAAACTGATTTCAAAATGTATCTCAAAATATTATATCAGATGCATATATGCTAAATAAATTTAAATTCAGTTCAAGCTTTCATAACTAGACTATCGTCACATATAAACATAGATAAGCTGATCTCTTCAACGTAAAAGGAATAAAAACATTTGTCGTTCAATGTTAAGTCTTCTTTAAGACTACCAACTAGATTTCATATTGGGCCTGCTTGTCTATTAGGATAGCTGTAGACATCTCTTCTCACCATATCAAAGTAAGGATCATAATTGACATAATATTATCATCATACATGAAAGATAAAACTCACCATACATTATCTATCAATAAAGAGTACCTCTCATATATTTGCAAGTGAAATATATGGCTCTCTAAGACTTTTGAATGTACTCCAATTAAGTGTTTCATCACATATGAATTCAAAACTACATATTGTGGTTGTCTTAGTATCTTCTTAGCTATACCCCACATTACCAAGTATGTTGTCACCTGCAAGAAGATTTTTCCAGACAAGGTCTCTCCACCCCCACAATTTGAATGGTATTCTGGAAAGGTGTATAGCGTCAAGACCTGCAAACATTAGCACTAACCTAGTTCCACCGGCATCATGGTTAAATGTATAATAAGCTTTAAAAATGAATTAGTGCAAATTAAATTAGACAGATACACACACACACACACACATATGTCTTCAAGTTAAGTTCTCCCCCGCGTATTTGAGCGTCGCTGACATCCTTATTCGGAGTTTTTGAAGTAAATTCTTATGCAGTGGTAATATGGCACTGCTCTATTTGATGGATCCGAACCTTCTCGATTTGGAGCTGTCACAAGGGTCATCACAATTGTACTACTCCTTCTTTATAGTTACTCTAATTATAGTATTACAAAGGCTCAACCAATACATTAGTTCCATACAGATCAAATTGATATCACGCATAAATCAACCTCACAATTAATTTCAAAATAGTGACAACCCCCACAATTTCTAATCAAATTGCAGTAAAATATTGTAAACAATTTAATTTTATAAATCACAAGGTACGGTGAAGGAAAACCCTCACAAGTTCTGGAAAGCCTTAAAATTTTAACAAATCACACTTGATTTATTGTCATATTTATTGTACCTGCTCCCAAATATAGTGTAGTAATCTTGATCTCAGTTTTCTCTGAAGCAATATACAAGGGCAAACCTTTACACAGTGAGGGACAAATACAGTGACCTACTCCATTAAATAAGCCTTCCTTGGAAGTGTTGGTCATCACAAGTACATCACCACTATTCCTAGGATCACTCTTATTGTTGCAACTTCACCACACTACTCTACATTTATCGCAGACAAGTCAAATATATAAGTGACAAATAACAGTCCATTAGAATGTGGAGTGAATAATACGTCTTTCACAACTAATTAAGGAGATTAAAACAATTCAAGCATGTATGTGTGTGTCTTAACTCTATAACGCATATGTTTTCCAATTTAAACTATCTGATTAAGAAGTGTACCACACAAAAAGTGTCAACAAGTTATGCAAAAACTAGCTCCCCATGAACCCCCACAAATTGAGGGAAATCTCAAGCAACTGTAGGGCTTGCAAACCTTATAGTGCATGCTCACATCACAAGGCTGTCTTTAGCATATGACTGCTTTTCATCATAAGCACGATAAGCTCGTGAGGTACATGACTGATATTACAATGGATTACTAATAAATTGACTATGACTATGGAATCATTCTCACACAATAGATTACTAATAATTTTAATTTACACAAAGAAAGAATCAATAACTAATTAAAATAATGTGTCAGTTATCTGAAAATTCCATAATGAAAATGGACCTTAACCCAGCACATCTGGGTCATCTGGGTAAAAGAGCTTGCCAATCAATCAAGTGACACGAAAGTATCGTTTAGATTTGTCGACCTAGAAATACTCTTCTAGTATTTATAGTAAAAACACAAGAACACAACAAATAAAATCTACATGGACGATAGATATATTCTTGCTAAATTATTTCTAGGTATTATTTTCAGTGAGAAGTCAATATGGCACAAATCAAAATAAGTAGCAATCGAATCACAAGGTCCATGGAAAACCCTCACAAAAAAAAAATTATAAATGTAAAAAATAAATAAAATAAAAAAAATTCTTTAGTAACATTTCAAAAAAAAAAAAAAATGTTTTCTACTACCTCAAAGAATACTAGGTATCTTTTAAGAATCGAAACCATTACACTTAATATGTACGAGAAAAATCCCATCTTTCAAGTATATCCTTATTATGAAAATATAAAATAGGGTAAACTGCCAATTTAGTCCATGAATTATCACCTTAGTGAAAATTAGGTCTCTAAACTATTTTTTCAGAAAAATCAGTTCTTGAATTATAAAAATCTGCCAATTACATTCCTAATATTATATTCGAAGTTACTATATTCAATTTTTCATTAATTTAAATCACGTTACTTGCATGTGATACACATTGGAGGGTAGATTGGTAGTTTTTCATAAAGAAATAGTGTATGGAGTTAGCTTTGAATCAGAAATTGGTAGTTTTTCATAAAGAAATAGTGTAAGTTAACTTTTGAGGGTAAATTAGACATTAAAATCGCAATCAATATGAAATGTTAAGCACTTATAGACGAGAAAATGATGGTATTACATTTTAAAGTGTGTCAAGTGACTTAAGTTGACGAAAAATCGGATAAAATAGCTTTGAATATAATAGTAGGGATGAAATTAGCAATTTCTAATGAATTTAGGAACTTATTTTACCAAAAAAAATAATTCAAAAAACTTAATTTTCCCTGAAGTGATAGTTCAAGAACTACATCGGTACTTCACTGTATAAAATATATATATGGCTAATCACAAAAAACGTTGGCCAAATAGTGGGAATTCACAGAGCATTATTGCCCAATGAAATGCTAATATTATAAATCCCTTCAATGCATCAGTTTTGGTAAACAAAACTTGTACTCAGAACAGACAACTGGTTATGCATGTTAGTGGTTCCGGTAAGAAAGATAAACACTTTGGATTTGAAAAACTCTCCAAAAACACTTTGGATTTGCAGCACCTACCCATGACCTGAAAATTAAAATGTCTAACCATATTGAAAAGGATGGATCCTTTTCTTGAGAATCCTTCGTGATCATTCATCGTATATCGTACGATCAATTTTCATTAGATACCATTTATAGTTAATTTTAAATTTCAAAATTTGAAATAATTTTTAACCACTT